TTCATTCATTTATAGGCATAAATAAACAAAAAAAACCCTTGTAACAGCAGAAGTAACTCACCTTTTTCAGCCTCTGGGAGTAGGAAATTAAATAAGGGATCGCGGCAGCAAAAGAAAAACAGAGGAAAAAAGAATGGGAGAAAAACATCGCCTCTTCACTCGGCGATTAGCTGGTTGAATCTGTATTGTCTCGACACTCGTCTAACGTGACACCGATCGAGGGGCGGGAAAGCGAACTACGGCAGCAACGGGGCTTCCACTATGCCCTAGGCGCCGAGATTGTGGGAGCGAGAGGGTCCCTTTTACCATCCATGAGGGGCGAAGGAAGAACTCAGTAACCTTTTTTTTATCGTGAACTGTGCCTTTAAAGCTGAGGGTACATTTGGAGGTATTCGCTGGCTTTGTGAGTTCATCGCTACAAATTCTTAAGACTTCCTGCAGAAGGTCATCTACAATTTCACTGTTTATTCTCAGACAAATTTCAGCTTATAGTCAATACTCGTGATACATGCAATTGTGAAAAGCTGGTTGTATAGAAATGGAAAGAAAAGCAAATTCGAAGCTACTTTCACATTGACGAGAATCTTTTCCGACTAGAAGAATGAAAAGCTTTCAAGAGAACCGCTTTGTCAATAAGAATCCCTCTCTTCATAACTTCGTTTAGGTTGTGTGACCTAGAGACTATAATGCTGCATTGTTCAAGACTACGTTATTCAGAATGCTTTATTGACAGAGTTTTTTTCACTCCTCTGGCTCTGGCTTGGGCTCCGATTTGTCGAGTTTCGCCCAAGTGAGAGTGTAGACCTTTCCACCCTTGACGGTATCGTAGCGGCAGAAGTTCTCGTCCTAGAATACAAAGTGATTACTTTCTTATTTGACAGTATANCTCCCTAAAAAATTAAGCTTGTCTGAATGAACCACGATACGCCAGCACCAGATTGTGACGTTTCTCTAGGCTAAGCGCTCCAGGTGAATGGATCACCCATTTGTATTCTTTCGAAGATAAAGAGTTAGGGTCAACGTTTAGCCAAGTCAAAAGAGTTGTGTGAACTATTGGCGTAGTTAAAACTTTACAGATGCAGAAAATCGGCGTGGTGTAAGATCGACAAAATCAAAAAGATTCAGGGAAAAGATTACGAACCCTCGAGAAGAAGCCAATAGAGAAACCTCCGGTCGATCGTGTAACACAGTTCATGGCCTATCCAGGACGATTCAGTTTACTAGCGAGCGCATTGACGTGTCCCTGAACGATGTTATAAAAATGAATCTGAAACCTTAGTCCGATGGTGGAAACTGCACGATCTTTTGTTGGTACAGGCCTGTCAGATTTGCCATGCAAACTGACAGGCCTGTACACTCCTATCAAGTATGTACAAGGAGGCAGGCATGCTGTGCGTAGATTCTCAACCTCACTGATAAGATTGTGTCTATGAAGCTCCTCACTAGTGAAACTCCCATCAGTGAGGTCGAGTCACTAGTCTACGGAGAGGTCGTTAACGTCCTCATTTGGGATTTGTGCTTCCCAAAGAGTGCGAGCATTATTTCAAGTGCTCACCTGACAGGAATCCTCAGCATCCTTAAAGGCACCATTCACGACTAAAAGTTATTGAGATCTTACCTT